ACAAGCGCGAAAAAGCAGGAAATGCAAGTAAAAAAATATACCACTGTATAAGACGCACCCAGTTTTTAGACCCCAAAATTTTCGATGAAAGGGTGTATCTTATACATGGGGAAATACGGTGTATAGTTCCCTTAGCAGATACTGTCCAGGGGTGGGGGTGGGGGGGAGTTGGTTGACTAGTGACTTCATACGTATAAACAAAGTAACATGATTGCTGATTTCTTTTTACCCTTGGCTATACTAATAATATAGCTCAATAATCATTAGAGTAATTATTACTATTATAATGATCGCATTCTTTATAGTGGCAACAATAGCACTGAATTCTGCACTGCTGGAAGCCACATCACATCTCCAGCACTGTAGCCTGGTTCGGTGGCTCAAAAAGGTCAATGCCAAATGACAGTGTGTTTGGCAAGAGCTGCTCAGTTGCTGCTGTGTCTAGAATCCCAGTCAGATCATAAGCAGCAAAATAAACCAGAGCCATTTGTCCTGGAAAAGCTCGGCATCAAGATTTCAAATATTCATAATGCTGCCTTGAGGAAGAGAGACTCGGGCTTGGTGGCTGTGGATGCAAAGAGTAGAACCGGGAGGCCGTGGGTGGGTGCTCGGGGGGTATGCCTGAGGAAAGACATCCTAAACATCTGTGGTGTTTACCCACGGTATAGACCGTGAACTCTGATTGGTGCAGTCTTGTCCTGTGATTGGTTCACACAAAGAGCAAACAGGTCAAGAGATCAGATGATCTTCCCACCTAGGATTTGTGTGTCTCGAGTGGGTGGGAGGTTGGGGTTTTGATAGGCTGGGAAGTGGGCCAAGGACTCCAGTGAGAAAGACAGACATGAGTGTTGTGAGGCAGACTCACGAGACTGTGGGCAAACCCTCTGGATCATCATGTCTGGGTGGCTGTACCCCAAGAAGAGGACCTTGTCTGTTTGAGACGGGGTAGCATTTCATCTTCAGGGGCATGTGACTAGACGTCATGATTTCCATGGATCCCAGAGCTCAACGCTGTATGTGCTAAAAGAGCAGTCTTCGAACTACTCAGCTGGCTTCTTCTCTTCCTCCTCGAATGTGAAATCAAACCTTCTTTAAAAAGAGTTGGAAGAAGAAATAATTGACTCCACTGCCCAGAAGAGACCTTGGCTCCAAGGGGATTTAAACTCACAGGCCTACAGTTTTCTGGGGGTGGATTTTCGTCATCACTGACAGCCATTTGTCTCTCCTTGAGAAACTGTCTCTATTTGAACACAAAACGTCTCCAACTTGCTAGATAAGTTTTGACAGATTTGCTGCATGTGAATTTCAGAACCCCAAATTGTACCTTTTTTCCACTTTATTATTGAAATTCTGGTAGATGCACATGGGGTAAAGGGAAAAAAAGGATGTTTTAAAGACAGTACTTTAATGAAGCAGAATTGACTTCAGGAATGGGTTGGTAGAAGAGGGCAAAGGGGGTCCAATATATGGTGATGGAAGGAGAACTGACTGTGGGTGGTGATCACACAATGTGATATACAGATGATGTATTACAGAATTGTACACCTGAAACCTATATAATTTTACTAACCAATGTAACCCCCAATAAATTCAATTTGAAAAAGACCAGATGTTTTTAGAGACAGTATTTTCATAAAGTAGTATTGACATCAGCCTGTGGAAATTTAAAATGCCATAAAAATCTTGAGTGTTTATAACACCTCCCAGTAAGTTTTGCTTTGTCCCTGGTTTTCAGGTTGCAGATTTGAGCATGGGGGACCTGCTTTTGCACACCACAGTGATATGGCCAAACCCACCAGCCTCGCTAGGGAAGTGGAAAAAGGAACCAGAACTGGCAGCCTTTGGTAGGTATCAGGAGAGGGTGTGGCGGTGGGAGTGGTGGGTAAGGAGGCTGGCTTATTTTTCAAAATAAGAACATTTCTTTTCTGAGACACAATTTATTAAAGCTAATTACAGTGATCAGAATTGGTCTTCCTGCTATGGCCACCAGCATGTCACAAATATTAAATTAAACCTTTCAGTTAAGTGTGGCCACCCAGCTGCATGGGAGGGAAGAAATGGTTGTGCCCAAGCCGACCCCAGGCATAAACATACAAGCAGAAGAGGATTTTTTTTTCTTTTTTCCGCTGCTGCTCTAAATATCTTTCTAAAATAATGGATTAATAATAAACCAAGGAAAACATCAAGAGAAAACTTTCTGAGACCCCGGATCTGAGATCTTTTATTCTCTCCCTGCCTCTGTGTGATGTGTACAAAGCTGGGATTCAGGGCATCCGTTCCCAGCCGACCTACTGTGGCAGCACTGGGTGCCTTAGTTGTGAGGTGCTTTTCAATCACATCGTGACTGATACGAGTGAAAGTAGAGCTGTATGTGAATGATTGATTTTTTAATAAACCAGTTCTGATGGATGCAGTTGCTGGAATTAGAAAGCCCATGTGGTTGTATTGTAATATGCTTTTTGACGGACAAAAGCTGTGGGTTAGCACTCTGGGAATTGTGGGTAATTCAGGAAATATGGCTTGTCGTTGCAACATAAATGCTTCCGTGGCATGCAGTGTTGTTCCTGAGTATAAAACGATCAACAGTTCATGCTTTTGTTTTATGTTGTGTTTTTTCCTAACCTCTCCCCAGAAGATTCCTGGCTAGGAACATAAAAGAAAGGAAGTCTAGTATTTCTATGCTCTTACCTTATTACTTTATGTTTCCGGGGGCAGGAGAGGGAGGGTGTTGCTGATTATTGCTTCTTCAGCTGAACTCATTTTTTCCCTCCATGATATGAACAGAGTTTCCCAAATGGAACATCCCAGTGATACTAAATCAGCGTGTTTAATACAAAGATGTATTGGGCTTTCTTCTTAGATCACTCCACCTTCATCGAGAAACTTAGTGATATTCGCAACATTGTCCAAGAGCCACTGTAGCTGTTGATGGCATTTCATTAAAAATAACACAGGAGTATAGAAGAGTACAGGAAAACCATGTGACTAAATGTGCTGTACCAAGGAGTATTTTAACGTGTTGGTAGTTTTTGATAGGCATGGGTGTTTATGGTGGAGGAAACCACAGTATGTTTTCTTTTCAACATTACCAGTTGTGTTTCTTATATTACGTTTTCTTCTCGGAGAAGTCTGGGAGCTCCCTGATGCCTCTTGGTAGGTCATTTATGGGATGTAGGATTCTGAAGTAAGCGACCCAAACCATCTATCTGTTTTGGAGGCTGGGCTACAGACTAACAAATTCCAGGTCAACACTGGGATTTTTTTATGACTGTCTCTTGAATTTTAGGGATTTCCTGTAATTAGAAAGAAACCGATGTGGAATAAGGAAACCATTTGAGAAAGTAGGGGTCGGCCAGCTTGTTCTGTGAAGAGCCACATACTCGATATTTTAGGCTCCATGGACAAAGAGGCCACATGGAGCCCAAAGCAACACAGACAATCTAAATGAATGAGCATCTCTGTTAGCGGGCTGAGCTCAGCAGGCGGTAGGCCCTAGTTTGCCAAGCCGTGGAATAAAGGGTTCAGGAAAATGCCAGTTTTGAGGTTTGGAGCTTTAAGTGCCACTTGCCGCACAGGCCCAGATGGGAGGCAATGCAGGTTTTTACTCTGCGTCGCTCTGCTCCCTCCCCCACAGGTTGCTTATCGGAGGGAAGCATGTCTCCCGGGATGGAGCCCACAGCACCTGCCCTGGTTGTAAATGGAAGCTGCGGACCCCAGCCCCCACCCCCATCACCCTGTGGCCGTCTCCACAGGGGCCATAGTTAGCAAGAGGCTCTGTGATAGGAGGCAAGCTTATCATTATTCAGAATCCTCTCCAGAGTAATAATAAAGTGAAGGGAGAGGATTAAAATCAGGATTCTGAGTCCAGGCAGACTGTGGTCATCCTAATGAGCTTATTTATGGATTCCCAGCCCTTCAAGGTGACGTGATAGGCAGTTTTGATATGATTTCAAGTAGTAAGGCAGAACCAACTGAGCCTTAGCAATGCCTGTTGAAATAAGGAAGTATTGCTGTAAGGGAAGTAAGTTAATTGCCATCAAACAGGCAGCTCTCGGGTTAAAACATGGTTGTCTTGTGTTTTGGTTTAAACCTCTAATCTCAGGAAATAGTGCAGTTTTCTTCTGAAACTGAAGTTGACCTGCTGCCAACCCAGCACCGTGATGTCTTATTCACAGGATGGCTAATATGTACTAAATGTTGATTATCATCTTTAAAAGAAAAAAGAAATAGCTTGCCTAGGCTGCTGCCTTGAAGGGTAGTAGATGTTCACCTCTCGGAGTCTAGAGCGAATACTTCAGGCTATCAAGGGCAGCCAGGAGCTTTGGAGGTCAAGGCCATGCCTAAGGACATTAGGCAACCCTGTGAAGTTAGTTGAGTGAGAATAGCCCCCTAGGATCAGGGTGAGCTTACAGGGGAGGCAGAGAAGTGTTCATAGTCCAGATGGTAGTTTACTCTGGCCCCCCACTGCTGTGATCCAATATGGTTGAGGTAAACTGAGGCAGGCCAGTAGCCTTCTTAGAACCATGGCAACCATGCTGTTGAGTTGTGGTTCTAACAATGTGGTGAGTCTTCCTGAGACTAAGGTTACCAGGTGCCCTCTCCTGGGGTCGAGCTCTCTTGTTTTTAAAAGGACCTGCTGTCTTGGCCACTGATTTCTGCTGACGGCTTCGTGGTGGGAATGTAGGGCCTCCTCGAGTGCTGGTGTTCAGTCTCCATGCACAGCGGGTGTGGCCTTTGGGTGGGAGGAGTGGGAACCTCGGGAATCCTTGAGGAGCTGAGTGTTGTGAGGAATGGAGGGCTGGCAGCTGTCCAGACTCAGTGGCTCGAGTCAGTTTCTTTGCATCATGAGGCTTCTTTTCCTGCAGTGGAAACCCCACACAAAGGGGAGACTGACCTATCCTAAATAGGCCAGAAAATGAGCCAGATACTGTGGGTTGGTCTCCAGAGGGCCTGGGATCCCATCCCTGAGGATTCTCTGAACCTTTGTAATTCTGTGCCTGGCACGCAGGGCACGTCCCCTCCAGCTGCTGCGTGACTGGGTGCCTGCTATGCCTTGGGGTCAGCATGTAGAGAGAGACAGAGACCCTCTCCCGGAGTCACCCTTCTGGGCACCAGTTCTTCCTTCTCCTTCTTGAGGAGTCCGAATCACTGAGTGTGAAAACATGCATGGCATTATTTAAGGAATTTTATGGAAGATTATGCCTAACTCCATTGTATCTCCCCACCCCTCAAAGAATTTAAGAAGACTCCGTACTTCCTGCTTCTAAAGAGTTTACTGTAATTCAGCCTGTTTGGAAGAAGCGGAAGTACATTCTATTTGATCAGCTAATTATGATGAATAATAAAATATAAATTATATTTCCTGAACTATGAACACTCTCTTTGTGTAACACTAGCTTAATTTGCATAAATATAAATCAACTTAAGCAATTGTATTGTTATTGTTATTATTAAAGACATTTGTATTATTCCTCCAGCTGCTGAAGTAGTACATTTTTGTTGAATATGTTTAGTGGCTGAAGTTTTAAACTTGAAATGATACCCTAGTTAAAGTGTTATGTTTCACCTAAAAATTTCCAGTGGGGCAGGGAGGGGGTGGGTAATTTCCATTTATTTAGGTTTCTTTGTTTATTTTGAATCTGGGAAATTTTGTCTCACTGAGCAGTTGCGTTTCACACACATGACAAACGACTGGAAGGTGGAGTGGGCGTTGGTTAGCTGGGATGTCGCTGTCGTCTTCATAACTGTAGTGTTTATTACCACAAGTCATTGAAGTTAAGGGGAAAACCCCACGGTTTATGTGCCATAACCGCCTTTACTTTATTTTTTTCCAGTCTTCAAAACTGCTGTGGTCCTTGTGTATAAAGACGGTTCCAAACAGAAGAAAAAACTTGTAAGACTTCTTTTACCTCATAGTTTGAAAGGATCTCCCTTCCTGTCTGCTGCTCAGTTATATCTGTGTAATTATAATGCTGCCCCTCTGTCAGGCACAAGCCTTTTATGATTTCTGTTTTCTGGTTTTTTTGCTTTTTTTTTAAGTTCTGCTAAGGACTCAAGGAAATTGCCCACCCTGCCTTCTTTCAGGCGGGCTCCTGTTTAGGCATGAAAGTGAATACTGTTGGGCCCGCCATGGCTAGAACCTTCCTAAACACTAATTGCTTCCTTTCCCTCATCCTGTTGTCCCTCTGTTCTTGTTTTGAGGTCCTTTTCTCCTCTTTCCTGTGTCTCTCCTCTACCTGGATTTGGTTAGCAAACTTATTTGCACCCTCCCAGCGTATTTACCACATGGGCTCTTGCTTTCTGCTGGATGAGTGAAAGGCCACCCAGGGTCAAGTTCCTCTGGACAGACCCTGGGGTTCCAGTGTCACTGGCTTAGAGAATGGGGAGGTTTTGGCAAGAGCAGACTGTCCTCATGCACCTGGTTCCTTCTCTTCCTGCAGGTAGGATCTCACAGGCTTTCAATTTATGAGGAGTGGGACCCCTTCCGATTTCGGCACATGATCCCCACCGAAGCTCTGCAGGTTCGAGCTTTAGCAAGTGCAGGTAAACTCTGAGCATGCTAAGTACATGTTTCTGATATGTGCATGAATGTTTGTCTGAATCCACGCTCTTGGTCTGACCACCCACCATCTTTTTTCTTCTATGCCGAACTCCCTTTCCCCTCCATCTCTCCATTGCCTCTCATTTACCCTGCCATTTATTAAATATTTGAATGTAGGAATGAATGAATTGAGTGAAGGAATGAACCGAGTGAATGGATGTAATGCCTTCAATGTTGTTCCAAGGAATGCTAACCATTCTGTTATTTATATTAATAATATTACAGTGACTGACATCTGAGTAGCAATGAGTCTTCTGGAAAGAACCCTTGGGCCCATAAGCAGACTAAGCCCGTGTAAATAACTCATTTGCCTTTTAACTAAGAGACCTGAAAAGACCACCAAAGCCCAAAAAAGCCATTGGGTACCTTTCTTTCCCCTTCGCATTGTAAATTCTTATCTTCGTATCAGTGTGAAGGCTCTGAAATGTCAGTTCTTTTTCTGCAATCCAAATAGCAGTGAAGCGAATTGTTGGGTAGGAATGAATATACCCGAAATTAGACGATGCTTTAAGCACACGAAAAGAGAACATCAGCAGGATATTGACTATGACTCGGAGGCCCCATCCAGGGCTTAATTTGAGGCTGTCCTAGGGAGGAGCTACCAGCAATGGATCTTCCATGCACATCCCGGAAGGAGCACATGTGAGCCCCAAATCGGCCACACCTATTCCTTTCCCACCTAGCAGCTGCAGGTGTCTGGTATAAAGAGAGGCCCTATACGTGGACTTCCGCAGATGCACAATGGGTCTATTTCTAGTTCATGCTTCTGATGTGAGCGTTAAGTTCTCGGTGTCCAGTTGGGATTGCTCATCTTCTCCGTTTCAACTTGCCACATCCATGAGCAGTAAAACTGCTCCGATCCTCATAAAACCAACTCCCCCTAGTCAAAAGTCATGAATAAAAACTCGTGCAATATTTGGTGAATCTTCAGTTACTCACCCAAATTAAACTAGACACAACTTCCTTCACAATGGTTATGCCTTGTGCTGTAGGAAAACTCAAATGCAAAAACCACACTGGACAAATGTATTTAGAATGATTATTTGCCTTCAGGTTTCTCTCTCACCTTCCAGCAAAGAGATTTATCCTAGTGCCTTTTTACTTACAATTTGATTTGTAAAATTGATTTACACGTGAATTTGCGGGACCTTATAGGTTATAGGTCTATAAACAGAATAACACTTTGAGGTTTGAGCACTTAGATACTAGTGTTGTCTTACTTTGTAGTCTTAGGTTGTAAGTTATCTAGTTCATATATTTCTTTGTGCCTGGTATATAAATAAGAAAGCTTATGTTTATAGCAAACTTCAGGCTACTCAGCCAGGAATTTTGCCTTCATTGAGGACTGAAAACTTAAAGACATTCCATTTTGAAAACAAAGCCATCTTTGTGATATGGCATTCCATTCTCACCCTCTATTTTTCATTCCAATCAAGTTTGAAACCACCAAGAGAAAACCTTATTTTAATGGAGTTATAAAGACTAGCCAATGTGTTCCCCGCTGTGAAATACATTCCAGTGGATTTGAGAATCAGAACATGGAATGTGTAGATTTTTATCTTAGTTTGGGAGCGCTTATGAAACTTTCTGCAAATCGGTCCTGCTCAGACCCATTAAATAACGTGGCACAGTCAGGGTTTGTGACCAGGGTTCTGAACCACTGGATAAGGACGACCTCACAAGGTGCAGTCTTGATGTTTGTCATGAATTGTTCCCCCCACAAACACTTTATTTATGGCCTCAAATGATATGGTGTTGCAAGGCTTATAAAATAATATGCTATTTCAAGCCAGGTGTTGCAAAGCTTACAATTACCTTAAAATATAGCTGTTCCTTACCTTCTCGGCATACCGTTTTTGATTCCCTCAGCATGGCTACCGTGGGAGGGCTGAGAAGGAGAGCCCCATTCATTCCCAGGACCTGCTACTTGTCCAAGGCACTAGGCCCAGGTGCTCGTGGAGAAGGCACCCCAACAGGAGGTGAGGGCCTGCCTCTTTATTATCACTGGCCTGGTGAATCCTGGGCTCTGTCTAGTCCAACTGGTGCCAAAACAACTAATCAGTTAATTGAAATAAGTCAGCCAAACGGGCTGTGCAGCTAAAAGGGTCAGTTCTTAGATCACTATGATTGACTGTCCTCTTAGACCATCTAGATAGAAGGAGATTTTCGCAACTGGAAATTTTCCCAGTGTTCTTTTTCTTAGCGCTCATTAAGCTTTTGAATACTTTGTTTCTTTGGATCATGGGGTCATAGTAAATTTCCTTCAGTCATATGCTGCTCTGCATTCTTTAATCTTATACCAAAGTATGGAAAATGCTTTTGTAAAAATGCAAGTAAGTCCCTTTGAAACATACCCTCATTCATGCTTGTTTAAATTTCTCTAGATGCAGAAGCGAATACTGTGTGTGAAATTGTCCACGTAAAATCGGAGTCAGAAGGGAGGCCAGAGAGGGTCTTCCATCTGTGCTGCAGGTGAGCCTGGAGCCGTGAATTGCAGACATGCAAAGTGGAGGAAGGACTGTGATGTGCTTGGTGTCCCCCAGCCAACCACCTCTGGGTTCTGCAGATCAGCCTGGGCATCTCTAGACTCTTCATTTGAGAAATTATTGAATTCATTAAGTAATAGTAATTGGGTAAATTAAACTGATTTTACTAGAATATGGACAGTAGCCTGGTTATTTTAATATCTTTCTAAAAGGAAACAGGAATTTTCAAATGCAGTCAATGTTCAAATGAGGGCCTTCTTCCCATGTTTACGTTTTGTGGACTAGAAGGAAGCAGTTGTCCTATAATATTTTATTTCGGTGTTTGCATACGTTGTTTGTTTATCCTGTAGCATCTCAGATGCAGCAGATGGCAAGACAGCCGGGAGTTGGTGAGAGTGTGTGCAGGTACTCCCAGGGTTCCCCATCGCAGACAGAAACTTCAGTGTAGGGAGGTTGGCACTAGTTGCTCAGGCCTTGAGTGGAAGCTAAACATACAATGTGGGTTTCCCTTTCTCTTCCTCTTCCATGAGAATTTGAGGCCTTTTCTCAAGTGCAGCCAATTCCCTCTCTTTCGTTTTTTTGCCTAAAATATCAAGATGAATAGCCCCAACAGGCAGCATTTTGATGTATTTGGCTTTAAAGATGATCTGTACTCCTTTCTGCTTTAATGGAATCATAGGTACCTAATAATTTCTTCAATACTTACCCAAAACCCAACATCGTGGCGGTAGTATGCTATGGGTTGCCTACAAAAATAAAAAATAAAAAAATCAGCAGAATCAATATTATGATGATTATTAGCAATATTTTATAATGATATTGCTCATATAGTAAGAAGTCGCATTTGCCAAGCATGAACTATGCCACGCACCGTAATGCATTATTTCATGTAGATAGGCTGGGGTGCTGCAGTTGCCCCGTTTTACAGATGAGGAACCAAGGCTCATAGAGGGTACTTTGCCTAAGACCTTATAGCAAATGAACACTGAGTTCAAACTCAGGTGGGTTTGGCTTCAGAGCCCATGTTTTGTGTTTCTACATCACTGGGTGACAGAGCTCAACAAAGGGCAGATCCCAGGAAGCTGTAGGGACTAGAATGGAAAAGTCTTTTTCAGGTAATCCACATGTGGTTTGAACAGCATCTTTACCATCTATGTAGGCCAGTCCATTTGTGATTTTGTTTGTCAAGTCCACCAGGTCCAGGAAGCGGGCCCCTAGAGATGCCATATGCTGTGTTAATAAGAAATACCAGGTGCAACTTACCTGGGTAAAAATACTGAGACCATAACAAGAAAAATGACTCATGGCTAGGAAGTACCGTTTACTCTGGGATTTAAGACTTGGGAAGATTTTTGAGTTCTGACCAATGTAGCTTTACTATTTACATGCTGAAATGTCTTGTGAGGAGCTGATATTTCACAGAGGGCCAGCTCTCAAGGAAACTGAAAATGTTGGGACATTTGTCTTTAGGTACTCTGCAGAGCAAGAATCTTGTGGTTCATTTGTCTGTAAAAACATTTTAGAATGAAGAGCTCTGCCTTAAGTACCAAGAGAAGAATTTGGCAACTTCTTGGTGCAGAAATCCACCTGTCCATCAATCCCTTTCCTCATGGGCTGCTTTTTCCCAGATTGGTTACAGGAGATGAATTGCAAAGCATAATGGGAAAGGAGTATGTGTGCTCTGTCCCCAGCAATGCAAACCCAGCTCAGCACAGAAATGGGAGTCCTGGCCTCAGTCTTGACCTCTGGTGCCCTGGGGTATTTGTTTGGCTGCACTTGATGACATTAGGAGCTCCCCATGTGTTCAGCACCATTTCTCTAACATGTAAATCTTCTTCCGTAGCTCCCCAGAGAGCCGAAAGGATTTCCTGAAGGCTGTGCATTCAATCCTTCGTGATAAGCACAGAAGACAGCTCCTAAAAACCGAAAGCCTTCCCTCGTCCCAGCAATATGTCCCTTTTGGAGGCAAAAGATTGTGTGCGCTGAAAGGGGCGAGGCCGGCCATGAGCAGGGCAGGTACTGTGGGGATTCCGACGTTCAAGATTCCCGTCACCCCCAGTCCACTGTAGAACTTGAGTGAGCTTGACGTCCTTGTTGAGCAAGATGTAGAGGTGGCCTTGTGGGGTCTAACGTTGGAGTACGGTTCTTCCCTGGTGTGAGGTTCCTTGGCCCTTGCCTCCTTCCCAGGGGCTCCCTGGGGACCCGCACTTGGTTTACTCCTCTTGTCCTCCCTCCAGCTTTCCCTTTGCTGCCCTCCTCCTTCTGGCTGGTGAGCTCCTCTCTCATTCCCAAGCCAGGAGCTGAGCGCACTCTCTTTCTGGAGGGGCTGTCTTAGCCGGCTTGCGGAATGAGAGTCTCTGCTTTGCATGACAGCCAGCTTTGTCGAGCAAAAAAGCAGTGTGTCATGTCTCAGCAAGGTCGTGTCCCACCCTTCTGAGAACATGGTGGCTTTGTAATCCAGAAACACAGCAATCCCTGTTCTCAGTAGGGAGGTCATGTTTGGTAGACCAGATGACATGTCAGATTTTTACTCTTGCCTTGTGCCTGCAATTTTATTTTTAGCTTTAATGTTAATTTGGGCAAGCCTTCAGCTACTCTTGTAAAAGAAGAATCGAGAGTTTCAATGGCCTCAGAGTAAATACTCTTTTGGGATGGGAATCATCGCCTTGGAGCAGTGAGGAAGGAAACCCAACACTACCACCTATAAACGGCAGTAACATATCTAGGAAGAAACGTATTTTCATAACCCATAGGTATTAATGACATCAAGATAGTGACTCCTTTCTTAAGAGGCAGCCCAGAATTTTGCAGGGAAGAGTCTAATAAAAGAGGCTCCCTTTGCATTTGCCAAAAGGTTTCTGACCTTTGTCCCGATGGCCTTTCCTCCTGTTCTCAGTTGTGTTGAAGAGGCATGGATAGAACTGTGAATGGTTGAAGGTTTTCACAGACATAACCTACATAGCTTGTGGGATACTACAGTCTTTAAGCACCTTAAATGTAACTAACGTTAGGGGGTTAGTTATCTTGACTCTATTCTCCAGTCAGCTGAGAAGTGTTGGTTGAAAACCTAGTGAGGTGAACACTCAGCACTCTGTTGGGTTCCCCAAGGCCCCTTAAGAGCCACACATCCCTTCATATCCACATTTCTCATGGAGTCTTTGTGTAAGAAAGCTCCGCTGATCTCTCTAGAGCTCACAGAAGAGAATTTCACCTTGGAATTGTCTTCACCTGTTCCTTTCACTTGCCAGGGAATGTTTGATTAGGATTGGGAGTGAATTCCAACCTCAGGAAACCCTATCTGTCATTGGCCAACTTTCAGTTGTTAAACAGTGAACGTAAATTCAGAGCTGCATTTACTTTGAAACTAAGCATTTTAAGTCTGTAGGACCCCCAGAAATTGTCCTGTTGAGAGCCCTTTGGAGAGAAAACATGACCAACTCACAACCTACATCATCATGAATTCCAAGAGAAAGCTTTGATGTCAGAGCCTCTTGGCTGTGGCTGATTGGAAGATTTTCTGCCTGATGGCTCATTTTTGGCTGAAGAAAGTCTTTACCATTCTACTTTTGAAGCTCCTTACTATCATCAGGAACTTCATGTTAGATATTTAAAAATGGTGTGTGAGTGGATCAGCACAGCACTAGCTGGTCAGTCTTAACAGTGAACACTGGAAATATTCAAATCAAAGAGTCTCCTTGAACCCCTTAAGACTGGCTGGGTTATTAAGTATCTTTCTGATAAAGGATAGATACTCATGCTTCGTTATGCATTGTCATGGATACCTAGGTGGTTTATTTCTCCCTCTGTTCTGTTTGAATAGGACAGTAAAGCCAAACATCCTGCCTCAATAATTATAACTCTTAAGTATAGTCTAAAAGTACTATATGTCTGCCAGTAACCCAATTAAAAAACTTTTTCCAACATTTTTCGATGAAAATTTTCAGACATATAGAACAGCTTAAGAACATGTGCATTCATAGGTACCATCAATAGTTTATATTTTTCTGTATTTTTATAATCACAAATCTATCCATCTATCATCCATCAACTCAGCTTATTTTGGACACATGTAAAAAATGCAGACATTATTGTATACTTTACCTCTAATACTTCAGCATGGAAATCATTGACAGCTATTCCCAATAGTCAAAATAACGAAGTAGTTCTAATGTAGTCATTGGAGAGAGCCAGTGTCCACTATGGTGGTGTTGAGATAAAACTGAACAGGAATTGTTGCTTCTTCCCAATGGAGTAGTAGTAATAAGTTACTTCTTTTCTTTCTTCCACCCCCCCGCGGAAATGGGTTCCATTCCCCTCCTTGAGTGGAGTGATGTCCATCTGTTCCATGCTTTGAGATGGAAGAACATTCAGGAACAATGATGGAAGCACAGGGCCCTGAGGCAGAGGATGGCCAGAATGGGAACCACTTGAGGCCACTGTCCAGCTCCTTGACCTTGTACCATCTGTATTTGAAGTCAAGGCTATGTTTGGCAGAATAGTCATCTTCTAGCGGCACTGAAGCAATTTAATGGTTTTTAGGGCTTAGGTTTTAGGAAAGCAGCTCCCAGTAGGTGTTTAGGCTTTTTCCCTCCACTAGAAAGCCCATTTTGCATTTCACCTTCTCATTTCTGATACAGCAGCCACTTGACTAGCGAAGGAGAAGCAGCAGTGTGTCCATGTCAGCTGTCTTGTGTATGTGTGTGTGTGTGTGGTGGGATTGTTGATTGGGTGGCGTCTTCTGTGTATTTGTTTGTCTTTAATAATTCCAGCTTCCTAGAGGGCAGTAGGGTGAACGAATGAATTCAAAGATTTGTTTTTCTTAACCATTTGCCACTTTATATAGCACTTTGTCGATCAGCTGCCTGGGTGTCCTATATTACGCGTTTCTCATCCCACCCAGGCACTGGCATTTTAATTGCTTTGTAGAAGAGAAATCGGTGATGTATAGAACATACAGGAGGGACTAAGCTCATTTGCTGAGCCTCACGGTTCATATGGGGCTTGTCAGAAAGAGGGCAGGGAATTAAGTGGAGACTTCATGTCTCTGAGAGCCACTCTGTCCTGCTGTCTCTCTGAGGGACGCCGTGCCCATATTCTAACTGCTGATCCTCAGGAAGTGTAACAGTTAGTTTCCCAGAAAGCAAGATAACTTGGGTCGGGGCTTCTGCCTCCTTGAGACATCATGGTGATTTCTACAAAGACAGCAAGGCTCTAGAAGCATCCCCCACCCTTCCTAAAGACCTGCTCCAGCTAAGTGACAGCGCTGAGGGATGCTCAGAGCACTGGGCCATGGGGCATTGTCGCGGCTGAGGGCCTGCATGGTGCTAAGATCAGTGTCTACGTGAGAGCAGCAGAAATCGGCAGCACCTGTCTCCCAGGTGCACAGGGCAGAAACATGGACTATTTCCGAGGAAGTTGGCTCCCCATGTCCCCTCACCTCTCTGTGTCCTGTGTCTCCCCTTGCCCTTCGGTCTGTGGCTGTGACATCTTCTAAGGCCAGACATTTGTGTGAGGTAAAGACTCCAAGAGACACTGGTAAAATCTGGACCGTATGTCCCGAATAATAGCAGGGCAACAAATGCATACCGTTCAGTTTTGGTTTTATTTGCTTTCTGGATTTTTATCTCATGTGAAGCATGTGGGGGTTTTATTTTTATATTTTTGTGTGTGTGTGCAGTGTCCGCCCCAAGCAAGTCTCTGGGGAGAAGGAGGCGGCGACTGGCTCGAAACAGGTTTACCATTGATTCTGATGCCATCTCCGCCAGCAGCCCGGAGAAAGAGTCCCAGCAGCCCCCCGGTGGTGGGGACACTGACCGATGGGTAGAGGAACAGTTTGATCTTGCTCAGTATGAGGAGCAAGATGACATCAAGGAGACAGACATCCTCAGTGACGATGATGAGTTCTGTGAGTCCGTGAAGGGCGCCGACGTGGACAGAGACCTGCAGGAGCGGCTTCAGGCTGCCTCCATCAGTCAGCGAGAAAGAGGCCGGAAAACCCTGAATAGTCACGCGTCCCGCATGACGCAGCTCAAGAAGCAAGCTGCTCTGTCGGGCATCAATGGAGGCCTGGAGAACATGAGCGAGGAAGTCATTTGGGTTAGGCGTGAAGACTTTGCCCCCTCCAGGAAACTGAACACCGAGATCTGACTGTGTCGCTTCCCCCTTAGAGAGCGTGTGTAGATACGTTTCCCTGCCCTGCCCTCACTCTGCCCGCCCCTGTACCCTCGAGGAGGAGAACGTCCCCTTAGGTCGCACTCTTGCACACAGTTTTGGCAGCTGACTTTGCTCTGAAGCCATTGTAGTCACCCAACATCATCATTTTAACAACATCAGAAAGAATTGTTCAGAATTTCAAATAAGCTTGAGTCCTAGCTTCTGTATATTACTAAGGGCTTTTATTTATTCTCAGTTAATCAGGGCCCAAATAGTTTTTTTAAAAAAGGATTCTATAGCACTGGAAAGCAGGTTACCCCAGAGTTTAAGCATGTACAACAGATTAGTTTAAGAGATAGCCCAAAAAGTAATAGTAATAAAGATCGCTCTATCTGAAATCAATCCAGAGCCACCTCCTAGTTGGGGAAACAACTTCAAACACAAAACAAAGCAACTGTACAGCTTGCAGTGTTCTTCCCCTTCCCTCTTAAATGTCTGAGAATATCTGTGTATTTTAAGGATGTGTGAGTCGAGGGTAGAGATTTATGTTCTGATGAGCCTTTTTTTTCTCTTCTGTTTTGGTCTATGGCTGGTCTTACTCGATGTCAGTGTTTGGAAGTTCTAGTTTTGCATAGAATTATAAAGATGCCAAACTCTTTGAAAAGAGATCCAAATTTATCACTTGAAAAAAAACACAAAAATGCTATTTTTTGTATTTTACCTGAGATGCAAGGGCACAAACAGATGAGAATTTTACAGTGTTAGTGTAACTCTGAGTCTAAAAAAATGAGGATTTTACCTTTTACAGAGAGAGTCAGGCACGGTGGTTTTATATTTATATATGAAAAGCCAACAAGATGCTCATGCTTAGGGGAAACTTTTTTCCAAGAAGCAGGTTTTTTTTTTTTCCGTAATGTTTGAACCTCTATTTGAGATGGAAGCTTGGTTGAATTAAACATGACACCCGAAGGGGCAGTATGTGTGTCTGTTGCACGTGGATGAGGAGGGGAGACTCCTCATGGGGTTGCCATGGTGATCATTGGTTTTCCCATCAAAGTTGCATCTTCATTCATAGATTACCTACCCCTTCCCTGACAGTCCATAACCAAACCTCTTAACAAAACAACCTCTTCAAAAATATGTCTTGTGTTTAACACTTTCTTCATGCCAACAAAACAGGGTAAACATGCTAAAAAGCTAACGTTCTAAACAGATTTCCGAATAGGGAGAACAAAAACAAGTTAAAGCACTTTCAAATTTTTTTTTTAAAGGTTTATAGCTTTTTTTTTTTTTCCTTTTTTCCCATTTCACAATGTCCACTTCCTAAGAAGGGTTTAAATAATATGAAAACTTTCTTTTTGGGGAAAAATATCTATTTGGTGTTTGACACATCAGTAGGTACTATAAAGACCTGAATTTTATAGTAGCTTTAGGAATTATATTTTATAAAAATTAGTTATGACTTTATATTTCCAGACAATAGAGAGTTCAGAACATCATGCTCTGCGTCCCTGCTTGCCTGACCTGCTGCCCCCCCTTCTGTCCCTTCCCTTTCGGGTTTCCAGGGCTTCGAGCTTGATCTTTTGAAAGTTTTATTCTATTAAATTTTTGCTATATCTTCTGATTTTCTTAAAAAAAGCTTTAGAATGGTTTCTATACCCTTTGTATCACTGCATTGTTCCATATCATCTCCAGTTCGATTGTGTCCGGGTGGAAAAACAGAAGCCGAGGCTTCTTTTCATCACATTGACTAGTCCCAGTGCTGCGGGTCCGTCTGAAAATGCTGGAAAGTCTGGTGCTTGCAGAGGGTGCCATTGTCTCTTGTACATAAGGTCACGACGTGTCTATGTCAAAAGTTCTTATATATTTCTTTTATAAGCTGAAAGAAGGTCTATTTTTATGTTTTTAGGTCTATGAATGGAACGTTGTAAATGCCTGTCAAACAATAAAAATATTGAAAAGTATCTGGATGGTCCTGTGCCTTTTTTTTTTTTTTAAATTGGGGAACAGTGTGTTTTTCCAGGACCCATCAGCTCCAAGTCAAGTAGTTGTTTCATTCTAGTTGTGGAGGGCGCAGCTCAGTGGCCCATGTGGGGATCAAACCGGCAACCTTGGTGTATGAGAACTGTGCTCTAACCACCTGCGCTAACCGGCCACCCATGCTCCTGTGCCTTTTTGAACGAGAGGGTGCATGTGAACTATTAACAAGACAGGGCATATGGGAGAAAGTTTCCTGGGATGCCTTTTTTTTTTTTTTCTAAATAATTATAATCAAGGGAAAGCTGACTTGGTAGAGCTTGAAGGATTTTATTTTTTTAATTTATTTTTTATTGAGGTAGCATTAGTTTCAGGTGTACAACTTAATGATTTAAATTTGTGTCTATTGCAAAATTATCACAGCAGTCCAATTAGCATCCATCACTATACATAGTTACAAAACTCCTTTTCTTGTGATGAGAACATTTAAGATCCACTCTCCCAGCACTTCCACATATGCAAATACAGTATTAGTAACTAGAGCTCCTGTGCTGTACATTACATCCCATGACTGATTCATTTTATAACTGGAAATTTATACTTTTAGACTGCTTCACCCATTTTGCCCATCTCCTACCCCATCTGTTCTCTATATCCGTCAGCTTAGATTTTTTTGTTTTGTTTTTTTTTTAGATTCCGCATATAAGTGAGATCATACTATATTTATGATCTCATTTTCTGTCAGTAGAGCTTGAAGTTTTAACCAAAAAAAAGGCATTCAGGTTCCCAGCATCTTGATCTGATGAGAATAGAAAATGACACAAATAGGGATCTGTACCCAAACCGAGCACTGTTGGCCAGTGTCCTGCGCCCTCCCGGTGGGAACAGGCTGAGGAGGGCCAGGCGGAAGTACTGGGAGGAAGTGCAGAGCTTAGACGGGCCTGGCTGAGCGCGCTCTTGAACCAGGGTCTGCCTCCACATTTGGTGCCTTGGAGGTCTTGCTGCCTGGGACTTCCACAGAATCACACACACACAAAGGTACATGCAGTCCTGGGCTACCTTACACTTGCTTTTCTTTCAGCCCCCAGTCTTACTTTTTCTCAATCCCTTACAAGCCTCACAGGGTCAGTTGATCTCACCCACACTTGCCTTCCAGGTGAACAGGTTTCCTTTTTTCTGCCTTTTCCAAACTAGAAGATTCCTCTTCCTAGCAGAGGTGAGCACGGCTGTTGAGCAGTTTGCTCCTCAGTGTGGTTCATGGACCAACATCCTCAGGTCACCGGAGCTTGTTAGAAATGCAGGAACGTGGGCCCCACCCAGACCTGCTGAACCAGAACCTGCATTTTAACAGCAGCCCCAGGTGACACATGCATGTTCAAGTTTGAGAAGCTTTGATTTAACGGTCTCCAAATGTTTTGATGTTAAATAATGATTTGGAGCAGGTATCTTTTTTAAAGTATATTCAAGCTCCACTGTACCAATATACACATTTTAAAATACAAATAGATTTCTTTCTGTATCCAATGAATCCCTTTTGGGGGATGACTGACTGAAGCCAGTGTATACCCAGTGAAATTATTCCAATAGTTTGTACTTGGTATAAGTGAGATTTAGGCAGTTTGTGCTACTTTCTTGTCCAATGACTGAGTCTAGTGGTGTGGAGGAATTGAGTGCTCAAAGTCAAGTATACAGAAATAATCATAATGCTTTCTTTTATCCTAATTTAATTTCTTTTTCAGGCTCCTCTCCCACCAGGCTGGCAGAAAACATCTCAGCTCACTGCTGTCTCCATGGTTGTCAAGGTTTGGGAGGATTTGGGGTGAGGTCCTCACTCTAGTCTTAGAGTCCATTCATCTACAGAGGTTACTATAGCCGTGACCGTTGTCCTCGTCCATAGGCCTCTCAAGTTTGGTGGTGGGCTCTCCACTGTTTGCTTTTGCCCAACTTGGGCTTCCCACCTGGAAACTTTTGCAACCAGGTCCCTGGCATTTTGTGTCCTGCCTAGGATGTTGACAGGACGGCTTGCCCAAGTTCTCGCCCCTTCCATCTTTCAGACTTTTCTGTCTTGCCTGTATCCCCAGCCAGTGGACATGATTTTCTGTTTGTGGGAGTGGTGGTGGGGAGTGGCGAGGGGAAGAGGACGATGTCCACAAGCCCGTATTGTTTTCTGGACTTTTTGTTGATGGCCGAGTTTTACCTGAGACTTACAGGCAATTTCTGCTTTGCATCTTGCCACAAACCTATCCTGGAAAACAGGAAAATGAAAATACAGGGAGAAAAAGAAAAAACACTCAAACTATTCAGTCATGTATTTATAAAACATGTGTAATTAGAATTGTAGTATCACATTCCCCACAGGCTTCTCCAAAGGTGTCTATGTTTGAAGAAAGAACAAGGAATATTCAAAACACAAATCATGAATGTGTAGGTTGTTTAAATACAGAGTATGGATGTTGTCGGTAAGTTACTGTTTTCGGTTGACTAAAGCAGTGGTAGAAACCCTCCCAAAACATGTCACTGGGATCACTTTGTTTCCATTGTCCTCCCTGTCATAACCCCTATCCCCCAATACCAGTAGAATGCATTGTATATTATTGTAAATATCATTCATCTACAGTAGTTGATTCTGGTCTATTCCAAACTTTCAACAGTAGGAATTAACTTTTAGATGCTAAATTCCCCTGTGTCTGGGGCAGTGTCTAACGTCACCCCTGTCCACCACTCCACCATGTGTTCAGTGTAAAGTGATGAATCGGCATGTCTTCATGTCACTGCTATTAACAGATTGTCACTCTGGGCCGGTGGTTTCTAACCCAGAGATAGTAGATCCTTGCTGTTGTCTAGTGACTTGGGGTTATTATCCACACGCACACCTAACATTGTCTGCACTCAACTACTCTCAGGTTGGAGACGCATGACATTTCATAAACTTAAATCCAGGGTCTTTAAAAATTCTTAAATCAGGAACCACCATAGGATGTAATCCCTTAGAAAAGGTCTTTATTTTCCATAATGTTTCAACATGCTCTGCACCCAACGCAAACCGAAGTTGGGTTTTTTAGCCAGTGGGACCCTAACAGTTGCTATCATCTTTCTGAGCCCCAGCTCCATCCTGTTTGGCTTCAGGACTTCGCCCCTTTTCCTGAAAGCCACTTGGGGCTTCCTGGGCCGTTCCCCAAGAACTCCTTGGTTTCTGAGTTCCGTGTCTTCATCTTAAGCCGAATGTCCTGTATTCCGTCATGCTCAGCTGTGTGCTTTCGTTATCTGCCTGACATCTGTCTGCCTTGTGCTTTAAATATTAATGGTCAATTGATTTTTAACACCTCCCCTTTCAATCAAAATGTTAATGTTTGGACTTGTGTCTTTCCTGACTGGTTTCTTGAAGATATACATGGGTGTGCAATCTCTCTCTCTCTCTCTCTCTCTCTCTCTCACACACACACACACACACACACACACACAAAATGAGTTTATACTATTAACACATGCTTTTATATTAACCTGATATTTACCCTTAAACATAATGGTGGACATTTTCCTATGACATTTTAAACAGGTCTACATCACTCTAAGTCATAGCTACATAGTAACTCATCTTAATAGACAGACTGTAATGTTCTATAATTTATATATCCAATTCCCTGCTGATAAAGATCAAGGATTCTAGTTTTTACTTTTATATAAAATGCCATGAACACCCATGCTGCATATTCTCTGTGCACAGATCCAATTGCTTCTTTACTTTGCAGGCATAGATATATGCCTTTATAAATGCATTTATACCCATTTAAAAATTTTATATGCACATTTCTTAATTGTGGGCTGCCACACTCCTGTTGGCTTTTGGTGGGTCGTCAGGATCTTACTTCCTGTCTAATGCCTTCACTTTGTCACAGACATGGGAAGTTGGCCTTTTCACCTGAGCTTGTATTTAGATTCCTGGGCCAGATATGCTTAGTAAGCCAGGCCTTCTCCCGGTCTTTCCTCTTTCCTTCAGTCCACACTCAGTTTTACTGGAATGTTCAAATACTTGTCTACAGGATTTGGATATTTACGGTGACATGAGTTGAACGTCATGCATTCTCACTTTCAAATCTCCGGGGATTTTAAATATCCCTCACCCCATACATGCTGCTTGTTTTGCCCTCAGATTTAAGTGAAGGTTGAGCTTTTATGGTAGTGATAAAATCAATTTGATGCCACAGACAAGCTGGGGCAACCCATTCCTCTGCCCAACATCCCCACATACCTATTGAAGAAAAGAGCCTTTTGAAAAACAAATAAGGGTTTATAGACTTAAAAGGGGGGGGGGTAAATATGACTCAATAGTTGAAGCAGAGTTGCCACAGGATCAAATTCTGGCTCAAGCAGATCGTAATTTAATTCACTAATAAAATCTAGCAGGTGGGAAGGTATTTATGGGCGCAAGGATAGGATTCCTTAGTTTTGGGAATGCACAGAAAATCAGGTAGGGGCGGATGGCTGGGATGAAGTTTCTGGTCACTTGAAACAAATCTCAATGTCTTTTATTAAAAGCCATTATGGAAAAAGAAAGGTTTTTGTAGTAGAGCTGGGAAAGGGACAATGGAATTTCAATACACCTTTTAGTCTCAGGGAGTTTCTCGCCACTAGAGAAAGAATGATGAACCAGACTCAATAGAGCAGTGACCCTTGAACCAAAATGTGACTTTCCAGGGGGTTCAAGGATGCAGAGAGCCTCAGGGGGATCCATGAACAGATGCTCAACATCCTTATGTTCTTTTCTAAAACTGATTCACCTAAGAACGTGCCTCTGATGGATGCGTAAGCTCTCTCCCTCCCTTCTCTTTCACAATCATTTTTCTCTCACTTTCTAAAAGGAAGACACTTATCATCTGTCCCAGATCATACTTTGGGGCAAAAACCTTTGGGACATCAAACAAATAGACACAGAGAAGTGGTGTGTTGAGAAAGGAAATGACCCCACTTACTAGGGAGCTAATCCTCT